ACAGTAAATAAGATCATGAAATTTGTATATCATCCGAATTCTTCGCCGTTTTTTTTTTTTTTTAATCTTGACTACTCTTGATATCAAACTTGAAGGTAATTGTACATAAAACTTTGGAAAGATATCACGAATGAGAAATCGTACGTACCCTCAAACTCAGCACCAAAACTATTCTTCACCCAAACCAATCAAATCGCAACCGCTGGAAAATGTAAACAAAGTTAAATTATGCAGAACCATCTCAAAGGCACATGTTTTATCTTTGGAGACATGAGCAAGCCGCATTTAGTCTTTTAATGCTATGACTGGAGAAACCGAAGGAAAAATAATTTCAGCAATACTTTCCATACAAAGAAAATATAATGCAGACTTCTAAGAGTGGATAGAATACAAACCTTACCCGCTTAAAACAGAAAAAAAAAGAAGTCGAGCGTTCTCCCTGTGAATTAATAGGGTTTTATTTTGTATTCTTTCAGAGGAAAAATGTTTTCCAAAAAAATTTCGCTTTCAGCGTATGACACATGCTAATTTTGGGCTTTTTACACTTCAGATTTGCGCCCTTTAAATAAAATGAGTCACGCAGCAGTCTCATTTTGACATTGAATACGACAATCAAGAAGACTGTGAAATATGCAATCGATCACAGTTCAGCTGCAGCGTAAAAAGTCTTCTTTTATTAGTCTTCACAACCTTAAAGAAAGATGTCAAATCTAAATCCGACAATCTTTTCTCAAGGGCGAGAACAGAACGAGAAATAACCACGCCACAGCCATCACCAGTATTTCCCTTTTTTTTCTCATTTATGGCTTCTGAAAATTTCGCTGGATTTTCATTCATTTCATATGAAGTGTTTTCTTCTCAAGATTTTGAATCTGCAAATGCTTTGTCAATAATTTCTGATATTTTTGGATTGAAGTTTGTTTCGATTCGACTCCCCTTTAGATGTCCGCCACTATAGCCAATTCAAGCTACCTTACAAACGACAGTTGTGAATTACTCACAGTTTATTCAACAAATGTTTAGCTTAGTTTTACCAACAAATCAGATTTAAGCTTCGTAGCATTTATTGCTCGAGTGAACCGCTGAATCTGGGATTGAAATGTGGTTTCGAGCCTTAAGTGCTTTTAAAGCTCGAGTGTTTAATTCTCGCTTACAGCTGCCGTACAATTCCTTGTAAAATATTGAAGAGGATTTGGTATAATCTCACTGTTACCTTTTAACGCTGATATGATGAGCTGTTCTCATTCGTTGGGTATTGTATGCAAAAACGTAAAGAGAATTGAATTTTTGATCACAAATACTAACGACAGAGTCACTGTATTTGTGATGCCTTAACGCATGTATTTCATCAAGGATGTAATTCCTTCGAAATGTCATCAAAACATTTTCACAAATAAAAGTTTCACTCTTTAGAACTTCGTCACTAAAAGAATCTATTTTTGCACCAATTGACGAGCACCTGTAGAAGGGGAGCTCAAGGGAATGATACCAAATGTGTTCCTAGTTGATATCCTATAACTGTTAGTGTAATAACAATTAGCGGAAAATATGCAAGACCTGATTACATGTAACAAATTGTACTTACCCTCAGTCTCTAAAACTTTTCCCACACCAAGGATTCAAATTACAACTACTGGAAAACGAAGAAAAGAGCGGAAGATTAGTTATACAGAGTCATCATTTATATTTGAAGACGTGCCGGTGTATTTTAAGTGTCCTGCTGATCGTGTGACTGGCAGTAAAACGAATTGCTTGAAAATGAAACAAGTCGGCGCGCAAAATAATTAACATATCTATGATGAGAAGACAGAAAGAATCTAACAAGTAAAGATAAAAAAAGATTTTTTTTTTCTAAACACTGGTTACCACCGAAGAAAAGTCGTTCAAATTGTAATGGTCA